TTTTTTTTGAGAGGTTTTTGCTATAGGGCGCGTGTGCTCGCCAGAAAGACAGACAGAGACAGAGAGACAGAAAGTGAGAAATCACCCACCAGGGGGTATGACCACACCGCAATCCCTTCTCCTCATTTTCCTCTCCGGATCTTGGGCACACGCACACATGTGCCCGGCATGAGTTTAGACCACCAGGTCCAGGACTTGAACCATGGTTGACTACATGGGAGTCCAATGACATAGCCATTACACCAACTGCTGGTCCCCATGTGCCAGTCTCTTTATATGAAATATAAAAATTCTGCACACTTTATTTAATTCTCAAGCAATGCTGTGGCTAGCTACTACTGCCTTTATTTTAGATATAAAGAAATTGAGGTCTAGATAGAGCTATACCTAATTAGGTATCCAGCTGGAGTATATTCATCAGTTACCCAAATCCATGTCCTTCTCATTCCATCTACTCCAGGTAGACTTCCGTCTCTACCTGTTTCTTACTGCCTTTTAAAAAATATCTTTCATGTTTGCAAGTGTTAAGTATTAGAACAGATGCAGCAAGTAAATGCTTTCTAATATAGTCCTATTCATCAAATTCTCAATTTTTGTTTTTAGAAATGGGGATTTATAGAATATTTTGAGAAGTATTATATGTAAACTTACTCAAAACCCTTTCCAATGTGCTTTCTCCCTGTTCCTATGTGAAAGACTGTGAATCAGAATACACAAATCTCCAGAGTCCCTTGCAGCTAGGGGTCATTATGAACTCCTTACAAGTTAAAGAAATAAGATTTTCTGATACTCACAGACAAATACAATCCTAATCTTGACTGAAACACATAATATCCAGAAATGTTTTATATCAGTTTTTGTCGCTATTTGTAGCACCAAAACTCTCAGAAGTATAGCCATGAAATTAGCAATAGATTTCTTTAGAAAGGTGTTCATTTTGGGGGGCACAAACTGGATGAGAGCCGGGTCCCCTCCATGGGTATGGGAAATGGCCAGCACAGCTATGATCCAAGTGACAGCTGCCCGTTAGACAGGCTGAACATCCCGTCAGCCAACACAACCAACATGGGCAGAAGAGATGGAGTGGAACTGCTAGACTTGGCCTGTTCCCCCATTGTTCCTTGTATGATGTAGACTTGACCTCTGAATGGAAAGTTTAGAAAAGAACTCAAAGAATAACATTTTCTACCTTTTCACCCTGAGACAGGACCACACTGAAGTCACACCAGACATATATGTTAACCAGTTCAGTTTCAGTAGACCGCCAAAGAAGACAGTTTCCTAGCCTCTCCCCTAAGTAAGCCATGCCAACACTTAGGAACTCAGAGCAAATTCATTTTTAAGTTAAATAAAGTATTGCATTTTTTAAAACTTTTTTTTTTTTAAAGAGAGTTTTGTACATGTGCTTGCCGGAGAGACAGAGAGACAGAAAATGAGAAATCAATCCCTTGGGGAATGGCCACACCACAATCCCTTCTCCTCCAGTCTATTCTTAGGATCTTGGGCACACAAGCACACATGCCTGGCATGAGTTTTAAGCCTCTGGGTCTGGGACTCGAACTGTAGTTGACTACATGGGAGTCCAGCGATGTAACCATTATACCATCTGGTGGTTGGTCCCAAGCCCTTTATTTTTCTAAGGTAGAGTGGGAAGCAGGAAAGGTGTTGGGTTATAGAGTCAGGCAGTGCTAGGTTAAGTTGTATTTCCACCATGAAGTATTGTGGCTGGTAGACTTCCTTGTTACTTAGCTTCAGTGAGCCTTACGCACAGAGCAAAAAGCTCTCTAGAGTCATGGCAAGGAGCTCCTATGTGTAAAATGCTAGGAATATTATTTTCCATGAAAGTAAGTGCTCAAAAGCAGCCCCCTTTCTCCGTCATCTTCCCATTGGACAAAAACTCACCAGCATTTTCTGCTTAAAATTGTTTTATACTGTCAGGAGCATCATGGAATCATTCTATAGCATTCTCCGTCGCAGGCTGGTTAACTCCAGTTTCGAATCTCATCCTCTTTGCTCTTAATTTTCAGTCCTTGAATCTTGGAAATTTATTTTCAAAACAATTTTAAAAAATATCTTTTGAAATTTGGGGAGATCACATGTTTAAAAAGTAAGCAAAACAGTCAGTATTTGAAAATGGAAAACATGGACTTATACATTTTATATTGCCATGCAGGCAAAATTCTCATTCTAAGTTGTGAATTCATAGTCGAGGTTTACACAATGGTGCAAAGAACAAAACAGAGTAGTGAGACAATTATCTGGATCATTACAGCCGAGAATGTTTTGACCATTGAAAGACAGACTCCTCTGATGTGAGTTCTCTGCATTATTATCTTCACTTTGGTACTGTCTTTAACCCAAGTGGAACCTACTGCACCATTTTAAGAAAGGAAACGTTTCAGACCGTGGGTTGTTTTTAACAGCCATCCACATGACTTGGCTAACAGAGTGCTGGATGGGCTGACTTTTGGCAGCTTTGCATGTTGGCTTCACTAGCAAATGTACAATTTCAGACTTGAAGCCACACATGAAGTAATTGTGAAGCCACACAATGCATCCCTAAAAGCCTGCCATGCATTGTTGTTTCTTCCAATAATGTAATCCCTGGGAATTGTGATGATTTGAGCTTTTTAATTAATTAATTCTTAATTAATTTTCATTCACTAAGGCCCTATTAATTTATCTTTGATAAAGAAGCACATTTTGAAAAAGCCTAGAAAAAAGAATGAAAGAATGAAACATTTATCATATAGTTTGGTTTAGAGACTTTCTTTCTTTCTTCTTTTTATTTAATTACTCATGGTATATGATATTAAGAAGGAAGAAGAAACTTCCAAAACAGAATTTCAAAGCTGAAAGAAGTTCCATAGATTTACTCGTTCTGTATTTTATAAGTAATCAAACAAGCCTATCAAGAATTTCAGTGACTTGCCTAGTGTCATGTGGTTGGTTGTGCCTTAACCATGGTTTGTTTTCCTTATGATGCAAGTTTGTGCTAAATGCATTTTCTTAATGATTACCCTGGCCACCCAAGCTAAAGAAGTATCCTTTTTCTGGCAAGTGCTAGTCACTCTCACATTTTATTTTCTTCATAGTACTTGATCTCTAAAGTTATATTCTGGTTTATAATTCTGTTGTTTGTTTCTTTTTCAATTTTTTTCTTTAGCGAGAGAATTTTACTATAGGGAGTGGGTGCTCCTTAGAGAGACAGAGAGACAGTAAGAAAGAAAGCAAGAAATCGCCCCTGGGGGATGGCCATGCTGCAATCCCTTCTCCTCCATTCTCTTCTTGGGATTTTGGGCATGCACGCATATGTGTGGTGTGAGTTTTAAGGTGTTAAATTCAGGACTCAAACCGTGGTGGACTCTATGGGAGTCCAGTGATGTAACCATTACTCCATCTGCTGGTCCCTGCTTCCTCTGTTAAATTTCAATTTCCACAAAGGCAGGCGCTTTGGTTCCTGTTAACTGTAATATCTAAAGAAGCTGCTTGGCACATAGTAGATGGTCAATAAATATTTGTGGATTGAATGAAACAGAACTAAAGAGAACAGGAACTCCTGTTCGTACCGTATTATGCTGGGCACTATGCTAAATTTATGTCTATTACATAAACATGAGAGGTAAGTGACAAATGACGTGCTTGGAGCCTTACGGGCAGAATGTGGTGAAGTCAGAATTTCAAAGCCAAAATATTTTTCTTTAATTCCTGAAATTTGCTACCACATGAAATTATTTCCAATGTCCAGTGGTTCCTGTTCCACCACATTCTCCATGACTTCGTTTTTCAGGCATATAAAGTGTGCAGTACTCCAAAAATATGTGTTGGTATTCTTCACTGGCCTAAATCTATCAGTGCTACAGAAGTTTGCAGAGAAATCAACCTGAATGTATCTTTATTTTTTTTTTTTTGAAAGGTTTCTACCTTAGGATCTATGAGCTTGCCGAAGAAAGAGAGAAAGAGACAGTGAGAGGGAAAGTGAGAAGTCACCTGCTGGGGATGGCTACACCACAATCTCTTCTCTTCCCCTCTCCTCCTGGGATCTTGGGCACACATGTACATGTGTCCAGCATGAGTTTCAAGCCACCAGGTCTGGGACTTGAACCATTGTCAGCCATTTGGGACTCCAGTGACCTAATTGCTATGCCATCTTCTGGTTCCAACCTGCATATTGAGCAGAGTAAATACTCTGTTGCTGACTTTTCTGTGTAAAGTTTATTGAATCAGTTTCTCATGTAACACATATTATTGAGGTGTTGGAAAAGTCATGACCCATTTTTGCATAGAAAAAGAAGTCATGGCTTTTCCAATGACCCAATACTTACTTTATACTAATCTGTGGATTAATTCCACTAAGTTGCACTGATTTGCAATGAAAAGTCTACAATAAAAAGAAATCGACCCATCTGCTGATCACCGGAGCCCGATGTAATCAAAGGGACAGACAACGAAAAAATCAGATGACTTAGAAGGTGACAAGTGCCAGAAGGTGAAGAAAGCATCGGGGTATAAACAAGACAGTAAGTATCCTTGAGCAGAGGGTAATCAAATTCGAGTAGAATAAGATGCTAAATCTCTTGTCGTTAATGGAAGTGTTCACTATTTTCAGGTGAAGCTCGTGTTGGATACAACAGTCTCCACTTTCCCCAGATTACAGAATTGGCTGAGGTTAGTGAGTATCACACTTTGGCACACATTAGAATCATCAGGAGGGCACAGACACCTGCCTAATTAATGAGGCGCTGTGTCCAACACGGTGAGAGTTTAATTAGCAGTGACTATGATCATTGTTAGCGAGCTCATTCTTCCCTGCAGAGCAGGCAAAGATCTGACCAGTTCACAGATTGTCAAGAGATGGGAAGAAGATGGGTCTGTGAAAAGAGCACAGGACATGGAATTTGAAAACCTCTCTTCAGATCCCAGATCTGTTCATTTCTGAGTATGTGACTTTGGGCAAGTAATTCATGTCTTTGAGCTATTTAGTTTTCTTATTCAGAATTGTCAAGGACGGTAACATCCGTGGAGAAGGCCAGTGTGAAGGCTGGATTAAGGAATGCATATGAAAGAGGAATGACAGCGAAGGGAGAGAGGCAGAGGTTAAAAACATGGACTTTCTCTGATATGATGAAAACAGCTGTCTTCGAAATCCAGCCCTGCTTGTCAGCATCACCTCTGTGGCCACAACATGCTAACCCCACTGGCTGTAGTTTTCCCATGTATGAGAGACACAAAATAATAATTTACCTCACAGTCCATCTTTCCATGAAACCTGCTGTTATTAGCTCTATTTTATAGAAAGTAATCGACGCAGGATCACACAGAAGTCAGTCTGGTTTGCATCGCCACGTACTCTGGTTTCGCTTCTTACCAGTGAGCTTCCTGTCCCTAAGAGCGTGTGAGATAAGGCCATGACGAATGCTCAGCAAATACTCCCCAACATCTGAATAATTTCCTTTCACATTCCAAACTCCTATCCCTCTGCTTTATGATTCAGTACAACACACACTTCAGCCAGAGCCCCAACTTTATGTAGTGGATGCCCATGAAAATGAAAGCTCTCTTGACTGCACGAAACTTGTACAGACATGTCTCTACTAGAAGGGGAACATCGTCTCACATTTGGTTTTTATTGCTTTCGGCACAATAGGCATGTAATTTCTATTTATTAGGTGAAGGTGAAAGGTGAGAGATTGCCTCAGACCAAAAGCACAGATGATTTGCTGGATGGAGGGCCACGCAGGAAATGGAGAGTTACAAATGACCAGTACCTAATGTAATTTCACTTTGAACCTTTTGACTCTCAAGGATGTTTTAAGTGTGTGCTGACTATAACTGAGATCTTAAGAACGAGACCAGTTTTTTTTTTTTTGAGAGGTTTTTGCTACAGGGTGCGTGCGCTCGCCAGACAGACAGAGAGAGACAGAGAGACAGAAAGTGAGAAATCACCCCCCAGGGGGGATGGCCATGCCGCAATCCCTTCTCCTCCGTTCTCCTCGCAGGATCATGCTACCGGCGTGAGTTTTAAGCCACTGGGTCTGGGACTCAAACCGCGGTTGGCTACGTGGGAGTCCAGCGACATAGCCATTATGCTAACTGCTGGTCCCAGAACGAGACCAGTTTTAACATTACTCAAAGTGAAGAAAGGAACTCCGATATCAACTTGAGGGCAATTATTCTAGTTAGTATGGGAGCTTCTCAGGTAACGGGGAAACACAACCTAGGCTGAGGGTATGGAGCCTTATTCAAATCATGAACGAGCCACACATTGGGGAATACAGTTTGATGACAATGGGACAGAGTATGAGATCTTGGGACTCACGTTCCTTGCAGCATTATGGAGCTCATAATGGAAGACCCTGATAAAGGATACTCATATTCCAGGTGGGAGCACAGAGTCTCATAGTACAAAGTTTAATTGAAACCAAACTATTCCCTTTAATTTAATTATAGTTCCTCAGTTACTTCCCAATCTTTAACCATGATTTAAAAATAGGCATCAAAGAAGCTTACTCTCTAGTATAATGTGTCATTTATGAAACGATCAATCCATTCATATATTTACTATTAAAACCCCATCGTTTTACCGACATATTAGTTTAGATATTTAAGCTCTTACTTTTCAATGATTGCATTCCTCTCCACAGCCTTGTGGAGTGGTGGGCACATTTGTTTAATAACCAAGAAGGTAGTAAATAAATTAGTACCTTTAAGCAAAAACAAATAGAGCGCAGGATTTATATATAGTACTACAAAGAAATCTCCACAGAGACATAACTTAATGTTTTCTTTTTCTCCGTTAAAAGCCTACAATATCTCAAAATGAGGGAAGCTCCTCGCACTTGAATAATGGAGGAGCAGACTCGACAGTTCCCTCTCAGAGTCCGGGAACCACTTGTGCTTGCTCTCCTGTGTCTGAGTGGGCCTCAAGCCCCCGTTGAATATGGATCTACAGTTATAAAGAAGTCTAATCGCCAGTTCAAGAGCTTTTCACAGCTAACCCTTCCCGAGCAAAGCCGATTCTGGTAACTTTCGCTTTCCGTTTCCTTTCAGCAGAAGTATCCCCCAGAGATGTTTTATTGACTAAGCCCCAGTCAGTAAACAGCCCCAAACATCACAGACGAACAGAGAAAGTGAGCCAAACGTGAGCCAAAGGATTTATCTCTAGGAGCAAAAAGCCTGAGGACGTTTGCTGCAGTAGGGAGAGGGCTGTTTACTTACATTGCTCACAAGACCTTCCAACAGCTGGAGTCTTTGAACTCGAGTGCGCGCAGATGTGGAGCTTTCGCTCGAAATCCCCTTCTCTTTGGCAGTGAGAACTCATAACTCTTTGGGGCTTCAGATTGATAAGTAATTTCCTGATTCGCTTTCAAAAGCACTCCCCCAGGCTTCAAGTAGTGGCCGGGAGAGGAAGCATGCAGGGCCCACGGCTTCGCAACCCTGTGGCCTATGCAGACCTCCTGAATGCTTGCTCCAGCCCGAAGAAGTATTTGTCGGCCTCATGAACAAAAATAAACATTCCGCTTTATCTGTTGCTTGCTCTTCACATCATATCTGGGAAGCAGTGCTGCGTCTGAACAGGATTTATTCTGAAAGTGTAGGGGCTGGTGGCTAAGCAAGCCGGATCCCACATGGGTGGCTGAGATTGGAATCCCAGCCTGGTGACTTGAAATACATGCTGGGTGCATGTGCAGGCATGCCAGAACTCCTGCCAGAGGAGAGGAAGGGAGGGCATGAGACTATGGTGTGACCACACTCCCTGGGGGATCTCTCCACTTTGGCGAGCATAAACACTCTTTGACAATTAAAACAAATTAAAAAACAAAACAAAAAAAGGAATGTAAGGGGACTTTTCAAAGTTTGTGAAAATAGGTCAGCAGGTGACATAGTGGTTAAGGTACTGGACTCCCACATGGCTAACTGTGGTTTGAGTCCCAGACCTGGAGGCTTGAAAGTCATGCCAGGCACATGTACTTATACACCCAAAGTCCTGAGAGGAGAATGGAGGAGAAGGGGTTGCGGTGTGGCCATCCCCTTGGGGGGTGATTTCTCATTTTCTCTCTCTTTATCTCTCTCTGGGTCTCCAGCAAATACACATGCCCTGTAGCAAATCTCTCTCTCTTTTTTTTTTGAAGAGGTTTTTGCTATAGGGCGCGGGCACTCGCCAGACAGAGAGAGACAGAGAGACAGAAAATGAGAATGCACCCCCCAGGGGGGATGGCCACGCCACAATCCCTTCTCTTCATTCTCCTCTCAGGATCTTGGGCACACACACACGCGTGCCTGGTGTAAGTTTAAGCCACCGGGTCCAGGACTCGAACTGTGGTCGACTACGTGGGAGTCCAGCAACATAGCCATTACACTAACTGCGGGTCCCCATTTCTAGCATGTTTGAATTACCCGTCTGTGGCGTGTTGTTATAGCCGCACTGGTGATTAAACAGTGTACTTTCCCACATCCAGCACCACATCTCACTGAGCAGACACCAATAGTGAGATGGTGCCACCACCATTTTTCATTTCATCTGCAGCACTGGCTCACAACTCTCGGTGCCAGGGAGTCTAGGTTTTACTCCCCTCCCCTTCTATTCCTTTTTCTTCTTCTTCTTGGCGCGTGCGCTCGCAGAGACAGAGACAGAGAGACAGAAAGCGAGAAATCACCCCCCAAGGGGGATGGTCACGCTGCAATCCCTTCTCCTCCATTCTCCTCTCGGGATCTTGGGCACTCACGCACACGCGCCTGGCGTGAGTTTTAAGCCACCGGGTCCGGGACACGAACCGTGGTCAACTACATGGGAGTTCAGCGACATAGCCATTACGCTAACTGCTGGTCCCCTGGGCTGGGTTTTGAACTGCAGTCAGACATGTGGGATCCAGCTCCCTTCACTGACTATGGGGCCTGTCCTTTCCTTCCTCTTGAGAAGCACGTCTCGTCTTTTTCCCCTGTCGTCTGCCTCTTGGTCCTTGTCCTCTCATGTTTGCTACCACTTGTTTTTTCCCTTAGAGTTCAAGTTATCTCTCCATTTCTCAGGTACCAGTAAGAATAAAAGAGGACGTTTTGCTCAACCACATAGAGAGGCATCCTAGAGTCCTGACTCAGATGGACCATCGTTATACTTGTGATAACCGTGAGCCAGCTTCACAGGTATCAAGTCCAGCCTTCCTCTCTCTCTTCTTTAATACAGTGTCTGAGGGCACATGTGCTTGCCAGAGGGTGACAGAGAGAAATCACCCACCCAATGGGGTGTGATCACACTGCAATCCTTTCCCCATCCCTGCTTCCTGTCAGGATTTTGGGCATGCATGTACATGCACCCCGATGTTTTTTAAGCCTCTAGATCCATGATTCAAACTACAATCAGCCATGTAGGAGCTGCCTCCCTTTATCTCTGTGCTACGGGCTGGCCCCAGCCTCCTTTTAAAATGCCAAATCCCTAACTCACATTTAATCGTTCTGTTTACTTCCTTTGCCCTTCATAAGTATTTCCCTTAAATGTCATTTTAGTAAGATTTGCGCTCTCTAGGAGCAATTTTCTAATTCGATTTTGTTTTGGCTTGGGCTGTCATAACAAAACACCAGAGACTGAGACAGAAAACAGAAATTATTTTCACACTGTTCTGGAATCTGGGATTTTAAGGTTAGGGTGCTGGCAGGGGTTGGGTTCTAGTGACAACTCTTCCTGTCTTACAAATGTCCACCTTCTTAGTGTGTCTTCATAAGTCAGAGAGTGGGAGACTTTCTCTTCCTCCTTTTAAAAGGCCTTAGATCTATTGGATTACAGACCAATCCTAATTATTTTATTTGTATCT